TTTTGACTGAAAGACGGAAACCACACCATTATTTCGACTTTATGTGGTCTATACGATTTCTATAGATAACTGTTAGGATTTCCCGCCTTAAAGTATAGTATCTTTCCGTTCTCAGCTTCATTCATTATTTTTACCTGACAAACCAACGTAGTAATAATCAGTAGAAATGAATTGGTAAAAACGAGGGAGGAGGAGGAGGAATAAGAAGTGAAAAATTAGGAGTTAAAATAAACTCTAAAAATCAAAAAGACAACCAACTGAAAGAATATATATATATATATATATATATATATATATATATATATATATATATATATATATATATAAAGAGAGAGAGAGAGAGTAAGGAGAAACGGATGGAGATGAAACCAACATAGAGATATTCTGGTTGGCTATCAAAAGACATTGAGCGAAACATTTAGTATTCAGAGGAAGTATGTATTCTTTGTTCTTTTTTAACAGGAAACTTACCCCTGCTGGCTTCACATTAACCTAAAGCCATTGCTTTGTAACAAAGAACAAATGAGATAAGGGAGAGAATGTGCAGACATGGACAAATAAAACGGCACATAAATGTAAAATGTAAATAGCGCAGCCACTCGTATCCCAGGATGCCAGTCTAGTAAGGTGGCTAGCTAATGTGTTTGTTCAACAACCACAGACCCACCCGTTATTTATAGTGCAACTATGCTGAGCAGACATTAGTTACAGTTTCTGGGACAGTGCACGTTGTGTGATCAACAGTCTGAATAAGGACAGCACACTCAAACCCTCTGTCACGATGATTTGTGACTACGTGCTAGTACAACTATCGATGGCTTCCAAAGTTTTCGTCTACCCACTTTCACTCACAAGGCTTGGGTCAACCGTGGTATGGTTTTCAGGCACTTTCCAAAGGCACCGGACGCTGAGACAGATAGCATCAAGAAGTCATCTTCCCGACAAATTGATCATGGTGAAATTCGAACCCGGGTCTCATGGTCAGAAAGCGAACATTCTAACCGCTCGGCCAGAAAAAGGCATAAACATAAAATGTTATATAATTGCTTTTTCAACATCGATGAAATTTCTAAAGGCCTACATTATTATTATTATTATTATTATTATTATTATTATTATTAATAATAAATCAATTAGCAGAACATTTCTTACTGATTTCAGATCTAATTTGTTCAAAAGTTTTTTGTTTTGTTTTGTTTTTTCTGCAGCTTTTCCGCTGTTTTACGAACATTCCATGCGCTCCGTGTATTATCTAAGATCGTCATTTTCATATTTATTACTTTGCACAGACTTCAAAATTTACGCAATTTTCATTAAATACTACATATATTTTGTTCTCTACGTGCACAATATATAACATTTACAATAAAAACCACAATCTTGCTTTAAGATCACGTGATCTGATTCGAATAATGATCTTCATCTTTGTTGTTATTATTTCCAAACTGGAAGCCACTTACACTTTAGGGCACCGAAGGAATGTATCAGCTGAAACGTTGCGTGTCATCCGACTTGATGTTTACGTGTTATCGCTGAGGAATAAGTTACAAAAGCCTGCAACACCTTCTTCGAGATTCTCAAATACTCTCTCAAAAGATCGCCCTGGATTCTTGTATGAAAACACATTTAAAAGTGTTCTTATTATTATCTGACAACAAAAACCAAACAGCTACGAATTCGTTTATGATAGACTGCTGGCAAGTTAAAGAAGCCAGCAACAACAAACTTGAACCAATAGAAAATACTTGTGTGTCTACTTTTGCTTTAATACGCTCATTGAATATAGTCTGTATCGGAAGTCTTGATTATATTGTTAGGTTTGAAAAGAAATATGGGGTAAGACGGTAAAAACAGTAAAAAACATATGAAAATATGGCAGACGAATCAGAGCAAATAGGAACACACACGTTTTGCTCTTGTTCAAGTGGATATTAATATAGCAATCAAACCATCCCACCCGGTATAAGCAGCGTGACCACCCACTTTGATGTTCAACATTGTTCTTTCACTCAAACCGAATTTCGGCGATTCTTGCCACACTAAATACAGATTAATTCTTATAAAATATTTAATACAAATTTAGATTTAGATTGTTGATAGATTTATTTCATGTATATACTTATTCTGAGAAAAAACTATACAAGGCCCGGGTACCATTCGAGATACAATTGTAGGGAGGTACAATAAGAGACAATTTATGCTGATAGGAGAAGAAGATAACGGTTAAGTCTAGTCTTGAACAGCTTAAGATTGTAGTGATCAAGTAAACATCCACTTGGGAGTTGTTTCCACAGAGCATTGGTTCGCGGAAAGAAGCTATTCGAACGGAACTTACTTCTCACCGGATTGAATTTACAAAGGAAATGTTGGTGGTTTGCTACATTGTGAATGACATGGTGGATCCTAGCCGTGAAGGTTAGAAATGTCGGGAGCAAAGAATGTAGGTGTAGCACCCTCCACCCCAGAATTCTATCCTTAGACCTACGTTGTTAGTAATTTTCACTAATTTTCACTATCGACCTTTCTGATTTCATCAGCTCCCTATTTGGTATCTCTGCTGATGAAAACTATTTACTCTTGCCTTAATGGTAAGTATGCTCAGTTCGATAAGGTCAAATTGGCAGTTGATCTAAAAAATGAAATATAATCTCTTGTTAACTAGGGCAAGAAATGACTTGTTAATTTTTAACACTTTCAAATCGAAAGCGTTTCTAGCATCTCGCCTTTTGTATATGTATTATATTTTCTAAATATATTTCTATGTATCTTTTTTATAAATATTTTCATGGGAATTGTACTGATGAACATTCCACTTTGATATCGAGACTTTATGAATTTAAGCGTACTCATATATTAACAGTAAGGTCTCATCATTTTACAGTTGAAGCCGTAAGTTCTATGCTAACAGTTTCTTCCTTCACACTTCTCGTTTGTGGAACTCTCAATCAACTTTTAAAATCTTCAAAAATTTAAATGCAATATCCATCGTTATCTTGTGCCTTCTTAATCGTTTTTAGTTTTAGTTGTTCTCTCGCCTTAATACGGTTTTTGTTTTGCTTATATTCTCTCACACTCAGTAACCCCTTACATATGAGGTCGCTATTGCATTGGTTAGGATGAAATGATATATGAAATATGAAATATATTTGCTGTTGTAAATTGCTATCACTGTTACGGTCACACCTTTTACACAAATAGTACTTTGTACAAGTTCTTTTGCAATCGTTCCCCATTCACCGATGATTATGTTCCACCGTTATTTTGCAGGTGTTTATCATTTCGTTTTCATACGACATGTAACTAGTGTCTTTATAGTAACAGTAAGACTTATCAATACTCACTTATTTTCCACAGTATTCAGCTGTTGTTAGCAATGCAGTTGAATGTATTTTGAGTCCTCCTCCGATATCCAATTCTTCCATCATCTTCTAGACTCTTCCGGGAGCTCCACTAATGATGGGTACATCCATTGCCTTCATATTTTATATTTTCTTTTAGTTCTCACGCAAGACCCTGATATTTAACAAAGCTTTTCACTCTCAGTTAATTTTACTTTGTCATCCGTTGAGAGAAGAGTATATCTAGTCCCAAACACATTCATCAAGTGCCGACTAGGAATTTCAGCCTTGACCATTTATTTAATTTGACGACATAGATTCTTCTTATTCCGCTGTAAATGTCTACGGATAATTTGTCTTCTTTAGTACTTCTCAGTTATTGCTCGCACCTGTCTCAGGAATTGAACTCACAATTATTATGTTAACAATTCATATACCCATGTTTTAATACACTCGGATATTGTCTTCCGACACAATCCTGAGTCTAGAACTTGGATTCTTAAACCTGCTGCTGTCCTTGGTGCTGCTATTGAGGCTTGTCAAGCTTGATTATATTCCCTGGGATTTCAGTTTTCCTACTTCTGCTGCTACTGATGTTGAAACTTTACTGTCATTTCTCTTTCTTTATTTATTAACGGCTCCCATATTGTATTTATTTAGTAAGAGTAATCGTAGTGGATGACCTTTCACATCTCGTCGTGTCTGTCTTTCGTTCTCCTTCTGAAACAATTAACCACATTAACTGTCGCATTAGTCGTCTATGCCATTTATTATTCTGATGTGTCAGATCGCCATTATAGATTTTAATATAATTTCTTCGAGGGATACTGTTTCTCTTTTCAAATATACACCGTGTAACATGTCTATAACATTTTTAAAAAATTCGTTTGCTGCTTGAAATCTCCATGGATGGATTTTTCTTCCCATTTTGCCATCTCGTTTTTCCCGTTTATGACTTCCGTTACCAACATTTTTTATTTCTGCTCTTCCTATTAAACATTTACTCTGTTAGCGTCTGTAAACGAGTGCCCGCCCGACATCTATTGTTTTCTTTCTCTTTGGATAATAATTGTTTTGGTTGCAGTCATAGTAAAGCGATCTCGCGGTCTGATTACAATTCTTATGTAGACTAATATCTCCATCTCTGTTTATTTTACATTTAGAACGCGTATGTGATGGAGACGGTTTGTTGCTAGTCAATAACAAATCTGTATTCTCATTTCATAGCAATAACAAAAGAACAACAAATGTCAATGAAGCTCCATTCCTAGAAACTTCTGAGAAGCTGTACAATTCAGTTTCATAGAATCATCCCGAATAATAACCTCATCAGTACTGATTTCGTTGACACAACCTATCGATCGGTTTAGTCTCGACTTGTCTTCAAGCGCGTCAGTAATTGTACAATATTTTACAATCGAGACTTTATTGATATTTCTGAGTTGGCCCAGACAAATATGTTCTGTTTGATGTTGCATACACACACACACACAAAGAAAGTACACAGACACACACACATGTACGATATATATATATATATATATATATATATATATATATATATATATATATATATATATATATATATATATATATATCGTGTGTATGTAGATATGTGAGTATGTATATGAAGAAAAGTATGAGTTTGTAGGTTGGAAATCGTTAGAGGTCAAAAATGTTATGAAGAACATCAGAGGACAATGAAAATGAAAATGGCGTCGTGTTTATAGACTGATTAAATAATACAGGAAAAACATTTCTGTTCCATTTGGTTGATAATGAAAATAGGGAAAATGGAGTAAAAAAGAGTTTGTTCCAACTGAAGAAGATAAAGAAGAGAAAGAATCTTTTAAGAAAAAAGAAATGAAAATGAACAAAGCTTTCGCATCGAAAGATAAAAATGATTTGAATGTGTCTAAAAAAACAGGAAAATAGAAGGCAACTAAAACATAAAAGAAGATTTTATTTTTAGGAATTTTAATGGTTAAAAAAGGCTGATGAACTTTATAGCTTTATTCATAGACTTTAATCTTGTTCTTAGGCACAATATCAGCCCTGGGAGTTTTCAAGTTATTAAAATGGTGTTTGCGAATTAAGAGCTGTTTACAACGAAATCCCTTGGAAGCGATCAGAATAATAAGGTTGCTTGGAGAAATTAAAATGACATAAAAAAAAGTTTTCATTTTTATATAAAAAAAGGCTAAAAGCAATTCGCTTACATACGATTTGTTCTTTAGGTATTTTTAAAATCAGAAATTGCGTAAATAGTTCGCTCTCCACACACAATGTTTTCTTCCCGGAGCCTCAATCGTTATTTATGACAAGACTGAATTGAGAAAAAAAATAAAATTGGTAAACACAGAAGTTATATGCAAACATTTAGCTGGAAATGAGCATTCATAGTTTCGCGATGTGGTGCTTGCACGTACAAAGTAAAATTCACTGATATTTGAAGATGAAAATGCATGTATGCATTTGAATGTATTGAAATTATAGAGAAGAAAACATGAATTCTCTGTTATTAACGCACGCGTTTGAAAATAGGAATATTTACGACTATATTTATTATACATATATAGAGAGAGGTAAAGAAAGAAGGGGAGAGGGAAAGAGTGTTCAATAGATAGAATGTTTTTAGATATAGAAAGAGGAGAAGGTTCTTTTGCACCAATTAAAGAAAGCGTTGTAAAAAACAAGTGAATTTGTAGAAATTCTTACAATATTTTTACAGATTAATGTGTAGACTGGAACAGTTTAAATTTTTCGCTTTTAAATTGTTCTAAAGGCTATTGATTAGAAATAATTATGTACCAGAAAGAAACTGCTCACAAGTTTAGCAAATAAAAGATATTTCATAGAATTTGAGGTCTTGGTTTATGAAGCAGCAATCCTACCCAAACGATCTTGCTCCATATCTGACTACTTCTTGTTTGCAAAACTTAAAAGAATTTTAAATGAAAGAAATTAGTGAATAATTTATAAGTTAGAGCAGCGGTGCTGTATGTTAATGTCAAAACATCATAGAATTTCCAAAAGCTTAAAGAAATTTGAAATGAGCTAAAACCTATCTTAGTCGATGCGTTTAGTCCTTGCAGTTTTGCTCTCGATAAAGTCTATCAAGAGCAAAACTATTATTGGTTTTCAAAGTTTTTAGGTATAGGAGTGCTCATGAATATTCATTAGTTTAACGGTAAAGTCAGGCAAATTTATGGAGGACATAAGACAATATAATTCAATGTCTAATAAACGAAAGTGAATAAGTGATTTTTACACATACACGCACGCACATATATATATATACTTATATTAATGAACAACATATATTTTGTATTACTTATTACTTGCACCCTTCAAGACGATCTTGAAAAAAGATCGAACGTACTTGGGAAATGAAAATAGAAAGAAATTTAAACAGCTCATTCTTTATCATTAATACACGGCAGTGAGTATGAACGGATTTTGTTAAAAATTAGCAGACATAATATTTGTAATTTAGTCAGTCAGGCATACCTAGAAGAGAATTTGATGCCTAAATACATAAATTTAAATTTAATATTATATATATATATATATATATATATATATATATATATATATATATATATATATATATATATATATATAAATATATATATTTAAATTATTTTGGATTGTGATTGATTTATGTGTTATATATTTTGAATAACAGGAGTTTATGGATTTAACCGCTTCCTTTTAATTTTTTAATATTTTTGTGGTCATATATCTTGGTTTGGGAAATTAGTAATTCTTTCTGGATGTCTCCATTCCTGAAAGAATTATTACCTTCCAAAATCAAGATAACTAAAATTTTTGAAAAACCAATAACATTTTTGCTCTTGTATATAAGTACTTGTCACAAAATAAAATCCTCACGCGTCGACTAAGATAAATTTTCCTTTTGTCTTTATTCATATTATCCTTTTACAGATATAATCTATCTGAAATTTTTACACACACACACACACACACACACACACACACACATATATATATATATATATATATATATATTGTTTTATTGTTATTATTTTGTATGTAACCAAATGCTGACGTGACTAGAAAGGTTATTTAAAATTTTAGTTCCTGATACGAATATTAAATTCATAATTAGTTTACATTTTTATTTTATGGATACCAAGTTATGATCATGAAGTTGATATGAATGATTTCAACAATGCTCGTATTTAATTAGGTTATTAATATTCAATCATTGTTTCTTATATGAATCATTTCTACCTTCTCTAATCTACCAGTAAAAGTGAGCTTGAAAAATTCGCGCAAACACTATTTTTCTCATATACACTTTCCATTGAATAATTTGCGAAAATTATTTTAGTATGGAACAATTTCTAATGCGAAGTATAGGGATAGTAATATTGTATAAAACCAATATTTTATGTGGTAAAAACTGCTTAACTGCCCTGGTAGAAAATACACATTTTCAGCACCGCATAGTCTGATATATGGAATCGCTAGCAAAAATTATTGTATCAGTGAACTTGGAGAATGTTCCCTAGAGGATTTTACTCTGCAACATATAAGCAAATTAGAATAATATCACAAAATAATGATTGTTAAATAGCTGAAGATTTTAGATACCGCAAATACATTGTTCAAATATAATAGCATATTTCCATACGAAATTGGCAAAAATGTGGAATCATTCAATTTGAAGCAGAGTAGTATAATTAACTTTTAATTTGTATTTCTAACACAAATACCATCATAACTCCCAATATACAAATTAGTCTTCAGTTACAAGAGACTTTTTGCAGGTTTTAGCAAACTATCGGAGTTGTCTAACTGAAAAAAAAAACATGGCACCAATAAGAGAGTTGTTGAAACAGTGGAAAGCAGTATGAAATGTTGCTTGTCAGTGCGTTTGTCGACAATGATAATATATTAATTTGTTCATTGTTTTTCAAACTAATATATCTCGAACTTTCAAATAATATTCAGAAGACAAGAAAAGGCATTAGCCCAAATATAGTGATCGCAACAACAAAGAAGAAACAAAAATGATTACAACATATAATCTGAAAACTTCAGACAACGAGAAGAAGCCCTGATAACTCATCAAGTGAACTGTAGTTATCAAAACATCAAAGATTAAGATTCTCATCCGAATAATTCAATGAGTAGAATAATTTATTTATCTTTGTTACTATAGATGGAGTGGGTTTATAGAAGCCTGAATGTCAGTTATTGCAGTTGGGTCGTTTCTCGGCAACGTGACAGGAGAGGCTAGTGAAGTGACACAGAGTGCTGACCTGAAAGTGCTTCAAGGCGCGACGGTAGAAGAGAATGGAGGTGCAGATGTGAACAGACACGCACGCTTCTTCCGGCCAGCAGCCGTGAAGAATGGCCGGAAAATCGATCGATCAAGATGAAAGCAAATGTCAGTTTATTGGCGGTCTTTCGAGGAAGGACCAGGGAAGGGATAGTCTCGAACAAGGGGTGGAGAAACGGCAAAGGAAGATGGCATTTAAAGCGACAAGCAGGTACGAAAATAGATAGATAGATAGATAGATAGATAGATAGATAGATAGATAGATAGATAGATAGATAGATGGTTTGCTCATCAGAGAACTTAAAAATACAAATGGAACTTAAATTTGAAAAATATTAATTCCTCAAATATTTCATAGCATCTTTTCAGAGTTCATATTGTAATATAAAAGTGGATAAAGAAATTAAAACCGGATGTTAGCTGGGATTATCAGTTCATCTGATGATCTACAAATATCTGTATCCCAAATATTGAGCAATCTTTCCTTTCTAATATAACATAAAATGTTAAAAAATAACTATATATATATATATATATATATATATATATATATATATATATAATAAAAAAATAAAAGTAAATACACTGAAAATACTTTAAAACTCCTCCAATATCTTAATTATTTCATATACAATGCGAAGAGGAAAGCTTATAAACTCCACAAAAGTAGAAAAGGTGAACTAATAACTTCAATAGTCACTTAATACTATTTACCAACTCCATAACGACTATAACTAAAAAGAATTCATCCAGTCTTAGCATTTAACACAAATGATTCAAATACGAACGTAGAATTAATCAATACAAATGAAAATAAGTATAAAGTTAGATTTGTATCAAAAATATAAAACTATATATATTTTTAAAGTAAAACATATTGGTGCAACATTTAGAAATTTAAGATTATATTAAAATCAGAGGAATCTTTTGCCCAAACAATATATCCATTGTCTAAGTAGCTCTTTGCAATAGGTTTGACGATATTTTTGACTTAAAGAATTGCTTTTTTTTATCAGAAGTGAAATAATTTCATCAACACGAGAATAGATTGAAAGTTCACTAATTTCGGAATCCTTTATAATAAATTTATGTTCAGGATCATGCAACATAACTTTTCTTTCCTCACAAAATTAGCACCAATATAGTGTGGGATAATTAAAACTACATAAGCGATAGAGCTCTGAATTATCATTATTATTATCATTATCATTATTATTGTTATTGTTGTTGATATTGCTGTAATCTTTTTTTAAATAACACATTTCTACTCTGCATTTGATCACAAGTCACATTCCCTTTATAGAATATGCTGTAATTGTTTGCAAATACTTATTATCACTGAGCTTAATTACTATTCTTTATAATTATTAAAGTATTGTCACTGCTATGCCATTATGGCTAATGGAAATAGTATAGAAGAAAGTACAGAAAGGTCAAAGATTCTTCAATGCTTATTCTACTTATGTTCTAATTACGGAATACAAGGAAATTATTCTGGAATTACTAATTAAAAATCCTGAAATTATCACTCTTATAGATTTTTTTCAGTTCATAATGTTTTTAATTAAAGTCTGGATGGAAAGATATGGCCCAATTGAACATTAAATTACTCCTTCGTGATAGTGAAGCACACTGTATTACGCTAAAAAAAAAGACATACGTTATGACGTGCCTTTTTGTAATGTTATTCTAAACAAAAGGACAGATATATCACTGAACTCATTTCCCACAACTTTTAATCTTTCTTCTCTAGATGACTTTTTACAGCTTTTGCAGGACATTGGAATTATTTCCATTAAGAGTAAATTAAGATCTGAGTAAATGGTAATTGAAAGCTGCAACATCTGGTGAATACACGTGTAGGGCTACCACTCTTTTCCTGCAAGGAGACTTCTCCTAACGCTGCGGGCTGACATTGTATAAGTAAAAAAAATAAAAGGCACAAACCATCGAGCTGTTCAACCGCAGTATGATGTACGAGAAGGCGTGTCTCTTTTCCCCCTATAAGGACATCTTAGTGCCTAATGCACTACGTGTCGCTTACAACTCAATACTATCTGCTTCCAGTTCGAAAAAAATCTCATACGACTACAATAGTATCTCTAATAAAAACTATCAGATAATATATAAGTTATAACTTAAGTGATGAATGCTGTTACACAGAAAGGACAAGTGAAAATTTCCAAAGCAATCCGTAACAATTTGACCTGATCAATAAAGAAACGTGAAGTCTATCCTCATCCGTTTATCCTAACTAATTCTCAACATTTTTTAACAACAGCTGCCTTCACTTGGTCAAATTGGGAGCGGCCCTTGTTCAAATTGTTTTATGCTCTAGAAGAACCCATTCTTAGCCACAGTATCACTATTTTGGTTGAAGATTGGGTTCTAATATGGTTAACTTGCTCTATGATCACTTACGCTCCACGTTGTTTGAAACATTCATTTTATTGCCCGCATTTAAAAAAAATCACTTAAATATGATCCAGCAAGCTTTTTTTCGCATAATATATATGGAGGCCATACATCAATGTGACTAACATAACGAAAGTGGTACAAAGGATTGATTTGGATATTTTAAGTATGTTGGCTATGTCACACAACGTTGATTAATCTCAGTTAATGTTTTATTTGTTCGATATCATCTTTAACTGATTTACTCGACTGTAGAAAAAGTTTAATGAAAAATTTCTTGATACTTTTCAAACCAAATTTGATATGCAACACTTTCTCCATAAACTGAACAACTGAACAAACCTATTATTAAATTGCATCTTTATCTTTCTTAAGCAAAAACAACTAATATGTCAAAAAGCTTGATTCTTTTGTTCTTCTTTTCATTATTATTGTTATTGTTGTTGTTGTTGTTGTTGATGATGATGATGATGATGATGATGATGATGATGATGATATATTAAAACTAGTTATGACTACCAGGTCCGTTCTTCTGATCTCGATTTGATCACGCATTTTTGATTCGGTTCTTTAATTGCTTTTGTTGTTTTCTCTTTTATCTCTAGTCATTAGCAGCATTGCACATCTCTCAGTGCTGGATTCTGCTCCTATAACTTGTATGAAGATGTAGATAAGAGTTTTAAATTTCTTTTGGTTTGGCGCAATAATCTTAAAGTCAACGATATATATGCGGTGGCTCACCATTCCTCGTAACTTGTTGAATTTGTAATATTGTTTGCATTTCTTTAATATATGGTTCAGAGCTAGAATTGCTATGACGAATACTAGTGCAGATAGTGAGTCTCTTTGAAAAATAGCTCTTTCATTTTGTTAAGTACTGTCCTGTTTTAGTAATTTCTACTTTCCATTTTCCTTTGACTGCGTTATAAAGCAAGCCTTTGTCCACTCTCTCTATACCAGGGTCGATTTCAATGGTTGTCCCATGCTTTCGTCCTTTAACCACATCTAAGCCACGCTTAGAAAATCTCCATACCATAGTTGATTCTTATTTTCCGTTTTAGCATCGTTATGTATGTTTTGATCGCTGTATAGTAATTCACTCATCCCACTAAATCCGTTTCCGTATCTTTTCTTAGAGGTATTTTTGTCTTCATTTTCATAGTAAATTCAGATAATTATATATAAATGGTTTAGTTGAAATGATTTACGTAATAATAATCAATCTTACAACATAATACTAATAATAACTATTATTGTTGTTGTTGCTGTATCAATTTCTTATTGTCATGCATTCTGCATACAATTTTCCTTAAACCTTCCGGTTTTCTTTATCATGATTTGCCACCCTTACAAATTGCTACAATCATCTTTATTAGAATTTACCCCACCATTCCCTATTTTCACTGCCGCCGTCCTCGTACCCCACCCTCATCTTTCCCTCTGTATATTTCTCGCTCTTCTTTTTTGCGCCTCGTGCAAGTAAATAAAACCAGTAAAAGGCGCCTCTTTATCTAAATAATGCAGCTCTATTGATTTCGCGTGCACTACTGTAAATCTATTATTTATTCCACAAGTGTTTTCCCGCCTTTTTCTAACCATTCTTCTGACTTCAATTTTGTGCAGACCCCACCAACATATTTTGATCCCCACTCTCTGTTGGATCCCCACAAAGTTCAGAGAAACTTCGATTTATGTCCTACCTTCGCGAAAAACATTGATTAGAAGCGACCGATTTTGAAAGATTTTCCTTTGTTTCACTTCTTTCTTTTATCGCGTTTATTTGCTTATGAACTTTCGACGAGAATGGAAGTGGTATGTCCTTTCAGAGTTTTCTTTAGAGCCGTTTTCTTTATTTCTTTTTACTTACTTATTACTCTTTTTTCTATATTTGAGTCTTTTTAATCGAATCTTCTGTCGAACGGTGATTAACCAACATCTGATTATTTCTGCTTTTCTTGTGCAGATTCGTGATGACGTTATTGTATTCATTCTTTGTGTCCAAGCAATGACTTCAGTTTGTATATTTCTTTTAACAACAGCAATAATAACAGTTTTAGCGTGGAAATAGATGAAACGAAAGAGAAAATAAGTGAAGTAAATTACACCAATAGAATAAATAAGATATAGCCAAACAGGAACGGTGATCTACTGGAAATTGAGACAATGCAATGCACAATCCAGAAACTCTCCTAGAGAATAAAAGCAACGTCTTCTAAAGCGTTGAACTTAAAACGGATCACTCTGTCCAATCTAGGCAACTAGATCGAGTATTAGAAATAAATAAGATATGCTACCCTAGGTAATATCATATTACAGCAGATAATAGTGTGAAAGTAAAAGATTTTAAAAAAATATAAAACTATATTTTTCTTCCAAGAGAAATTAACTAATTGTAAAAGACGATGACAGCGATTGTACCCATTTTGACTGACTTGCTTGAAAAAGATCCCAAGAGATGTGCAAAAATATTCAATGATTTAGAAATATAATAATAATAATAATAATAATAATAATAAAATTAATAAATTCGTCTTAATAATTTCCTTAAAAACTATATAAAATATGTTATGATTTGAAACTTTAAACGGGTCATCCTTTTCGTCATCATAATATTCAATGAAATCTGTTATAGACATGTCAATGAAAATATTTAAAATATTTTTTCACTTGGCACCGACGTGGTAATTGCGCAGAGAAGTGTGTAGAGATGAACAGAGACGGAAACACATCATAGTTTCAAATATTTCCTTAATAAATCCTCAAACAAGAAATTACAGTGTTATAAAACCGAAAAATTATTTCATATATTTTTCAGCCTAAAATACTAAAGGCGTTATACTCTTTAGAAGTGATAGTATTAAGATTAGCCTACGACATTACAATTGTTTCTTTTTGTCTTCCATCACAGAAAGCATAAAGCATATGCTTTATCCTTTCTGACTAATAATTGAAAAAGGGGTTTTCTCATCATGACACGTTTTTTAATATTTCACTTGATGACAATTCCATTTTCTGCTCATTGAAAGAGAAGAAATTGTTTTGAATTCCGTCTTAAAATTATGGTATTGTTACTATTTGCTTTCACGTCATGGATTGCAGAAAATCATCTCGCGATGGGATTCTAAGCTCACATTTGATTAGTATGAGAAAAATATACAGGTGTATACAAACTAAGATAGATAGATAGATAGATAGATAGATAGATAGATAGATAGATAGATAGATAGATAGATAGATAGATCTGTCAGTCTGTATGAGTATCTGTCTCTTAAGATATACAAACTTATAATACATAGATAGATAGATAGATAGATAGATAGATAGATAGATAGATAGATAGATCTGTCAGTCTGTATGAGTATCTGTCTCTTAAGATATACAAACTTATAATACATAGATAGATAGATAGATAGATAGATAGATAGATAGATAGATAGATAGATAGATAGATAGATAGATAGATCTTACGGGATCAACAGTGATAAATTAACAGATTACTTGGCATCATTCTAGATTACCCAAAGATAGTGAAACATACAGTCAGTGGTTTTTGATATAAGTATCATTAATATCCAATTACAAAAGGTGATTGCGACAATCTAGGCAGGTAAATATAAAAGGTAAAAGCGCCGGGAAATTAAGAACAAATTATATGCAAAGAAAAATGATGATATTAAACAGAAAATGTAGTTATATATATATTTTTTAAATGCGCGCGGATGGGGATTACACATGTTCAATAATATGGCTTTCATTTTTGAGGATGAAGTGCATCCTCAAAAAAAAAAAAAAAAATGACTGCACGACTGGGTGTTCCCGTTCATCTTATACCATTGCGTCCTTCCTATTGTGTTGTCTATCTGTCGATAATACCCCAAATGTAATAGCACATGATACGTATGGCTGTCGCCTCTATCTAGAGATTAACGACCAGTACTTCAATGAATGCGGCGACATTAACACTTAGACCCTGCTGAAACAAGAGTTGTGACATGATATAGCCATGATTGTTCGCGACATCTAGGATATTTCTATATATTACTGACTGCATTTTTGGTGGGGTCAGTGCAGAACCATGTCTCTCTTCCGGTTTACCTGACCACTTTCAAAAACTTTGTTTGAATTTGCAACAACTACCAAGAGCACGGTGTATCTATGGCACATGAAAATATATTAGGTTTTTGACGTCCAGACAGTAATTGTTACCCGCAACAACAATTCGGCAGGTAATTTTACCTCTTTCAGCTGTCAAAGGATATATAAATCTCTCTCAGAACTTAAACGTAATCTTCGTAGACATGTTAGGTAAAAATAAATATTGGCTCAAAATAAAAAATAATAAAAAATGAATCTTGGTCAATAATATGTCAACACACACACACACACACACACACACACACATATATATATATATATTGAGAGAGAGAGAACGCGCGAGGAAAATAATCTTAACTATGGACAAAAAGGGATAAACTTTATATACTTATAGATAAACAGACAATGACAAGCTAATATTTTTAAATACAGACTGATAGTTGGCTTGGGAAAAAGATAGCCAAACAAATTGATAGAAAGATACTATCACGGGTAAATGTTAGTCATTGTTTCTTTGACCTTTCCTTTTATTGGAATTGTTTTGCCTCTTCCCATCATTTCATTTTTTTTTTTTTTTGATTGCTGTCCTTGTTAGTTGCAATACAATATCCCTACCGGCCTTCTCATTTTTCGTGAAAATCATGGCAGAATTTTCTCCATTAAATTTAATAGTCGAGTCAATGAAAACGAACATTCAATAATTTTAAAATAATTTTTTTGCTTTTTTAGTAGGTCATTTTTCTGCCAAATATTTATTATGTAACATAAGGAAAAGGATTTTCTGGACAATATAGTTATCTTTCTTGATTGATGAAAAGCAACATCGCTTCAACAAGAGAAAGTATTCATTTTGCTTTGCATTTTGCTTTCAGATATATCCACAAAATACTTGAAGAAAAACCTTTCTTTTCATCCTTCCCTTCGTATTACTCTTTCATATCGAGTTTTCGCCTGCACCCTATTTTCGAATTATAACTCGTCTAATTTCAATCTCATTTTTAAGGAGTTCCTCTTTCAAGTGTGCTCTCTATCGAGGTTGACTCCCGAGTGAGGTTCTGATATTTTCTATTTTCTCACTCTCCTTTCTGTTCACTCTGGCGACACAATCTCTTTTCCTATCTGGCTGGCCCGTTTTTATTTATTTCCCTTTATCATATTCGTATTTCTTGCTTGGTTTGAGTGTTAAAGTTGTCGAATTTCTAGAGTATTCTTTGATCTTCCAGAGTTTGTTGACTTATGTCTTGTTGCTCTGTTTCTAGAAGTTTTCAAGACATTTTCGCCACACTGTTGTTCGAATTTTTCAAGTCCTTTTTTGGCCATTTCAAAACAACACTCGAAGCTGATGAGTCAACTTTGTTCTGCTATTTTTTACGTATAGTATGTCAGTGTTATGCTAGGCTATAAATTTCCTGGTCTATTGCTTTTAGTTCCTCAAGTTCAAACCTAAGATTGACTGATTAATTGATTGATTTTTAATGACTTATTGATACTTTGTGGGTTATTTTTTTAAATTGAAACATATTTTGGATTGTAAGAATAATTATTTTTTGCGAGTGAAACAAACATTTTTTTTTAAATAGCAATGATTTTCCTTATTTAACTCATAGTTGGTAGAGGAGATGGCTTCATGCCTTTATGCGCATTAGTGAATGTATGAACGTGACTGGAATTTGAACACGGCATTTATATTTCTCATTCCGAGTCGCCATCTATTACACAATCTGCACATCATCTAGACTAAGCACGGTTCTGCGTACTTCCCTATTGGCACTGTCCATTTTTTCATTTATTCTATTAAATTTCTACTTTTTCGAGTCCTTTCCAATATTTTCCAGGTGAAAATTATTTTGTTGACTTTTTCAGAAAAAGACATAAGCCAGTCTCCCTACGCTCTAACAGCTAGATATCTTGAAAAAATATCTCGTTGGTAGCTTGTCAGGATAACTGACGGAGAAGAATGAGCACTCGGGATTGTTAATCTTCCATAACGACGTAATATGCCTAAGCAAGATCTGTTGCACCAATTGTAACCTTGACAATTGCTATCCATTCAGTTTCGGTAATAATGATTATCCGAGTTACTGCCAACATTTAACAGAAGGAAACTGCTGTTCCCTTGTCATTTGATTTTGCTTTAAAGCAATCAGCTTGTCACTATTGACGTCATTATCACATTAATCCGGTTGGAATTAATCCTGAACTGTCTTTCTCATGAATAATAGAACAACAACAAACACAAGAAGATGGACGTGGTCGTATTTACAAGGGAAACGGGAGAAGATGAAAGACAGAATAACACCAGGAAGTCACTCAGGAGCTGAGAAAACTGTGGTTAGGGTCGTGCCTATAATAATTGGCGCACTTGGAAGTATAAAAAAAACACTAAAAGCAAACTAAAAACTAACTTGGAGGAATTCGAAATTCGAGAAAATTTTGAACACTACTGCGTTGTTGCGTTCTACGGGGAAATCTGAAAAGACTTTTGCCAAATTCAATTATTGGCGATAACAGCTTATGTATCTGTCTTAGATATGCCAGTGTTTAAAATGATAATAACACTGAAACTAATTTTTTTTTAAATAATCTAATCACATTGCGTATAATAGTAACGAGAGATAAAGATAAGAAAAATAAATTAATAACAAGAATGACGATAGTCGATCCTATTAGAATAATATAGATAAGGATATTAGTCATAATAACGATTGTAGCCATAAAAAATATTAACAATTATAAACTGATCAACATATTTAAATATAAACACACCAAGAGATATTGCCAAATATTAACAGATCAAGATATTAAGGTGAGTTTAGTCTGGCACAAGACTAGATGAAATTAAACATTATGAACATTGTATTGCAAAAACTTTTAGAGTGACTATCTGCCTTAGAAAAGAGACTGAAATAGATGGATATAAAAGATATTTTCCGTGATATATTTCCAGTTGTTTAAAATGGGTGTCGAATTTAATAGATTTTAGTCTTCTCAACCAGTAAGTCTAATCCAACCTCTGACCTTTCTAGTATAATATAAAAACGAAATTATTTGAGAGATATTAGGCTTTAAATGTGTGAACTTGGGGCTGACTGGGAGACTTGGGGATGGTAGAAAAAGAAGTCCTCTACCTTTTCAAAAACAAACAGAAGGAATTTCAGATTAACTAACATGGTTATGTGAATGTCATTTGAGGAGAGAAACTGAATTTGTACTAAAGGAGGATCAGAATCATAAATTATGCAAAAATAGAAATGAAACTTCATTAATGAAGCAGACTGGCCCAGAAGGGCAAAAATACGCATGACTGTAATAAAAAGATTATCCAGAAGGGATCTACTGGGCATATAAACAAAACAGATACTTCTATCCTCACATAATATATCACCTTAACAAAGATGCAAACCTACAAAAGAGTGACTCATTGCGCTTTTCGGATTAACGTTTTCCGCTGACATGAACTGGAAAGATTATATTGAATCAACCGCTAGATCTTCTGCTAGGGAAGTTCGTTCACTGTATCTAGCCTGAATCTATTTTACATATTTATACGTCCATGCCTTCAGTATTGCTGCCACACATGGTCTGGTGCTCTTGCTATATATTCAGAGAATATTTGATAAAATCCAAGAATAATCTGCATTGTTATTGGTCGTGGTATTTCGGTTTCAGTAAAATTTCCCACCGTCATAATGTAGGTTCACTTTGCCTTTTCTATAAATACTTTCATGGAAATTTGTTCTGATGATCTTGCCTCTATGTTACCTAAACTTTATGAATTTAAGCGACATATCTCATCCTTTTAATAAATTGGTGGCAAGATTTCATCATTTTACAGTTGATATACCCGGATGTAACCGTAAGTTCTATGCTAACAGTTTCTTCTTTCGCTCTATTCGCTTGTGGAATTCTCTCCCGGCTTCTTGCTTTTCAGTCAAGTTTGATCTTCAAAAATTTAAATGCAATGTCAATCGTTATCTCCCATCTTCCTCTATTCTTTTCTTGTTCTCGCTCCTTAATACTATTTTTCCTTTTCTCAGATTCTTTCACACTCAGTAACTCCTCTCCCCCCCCCGTGCCTTGCTTTGAGTAAAATGGTTTTAAATTTTTTTTTTAAATTTCTTGTAAATATTTTCCATAAAAAGTTATTTTTAGTAGAAATGCATATCTTATGTTATCATATAAATATGTGTATATACAGAAAACGTTACCAACATCGCTTAGTTGATACCAATTTTATTCTGAAAACATTTACTTGCATAATAAAATCTGACATCTTGCACTCTGGAAAAACTACAACAACTAAAGACTAACGCTGTTGATGTAATTTGTAGTAGCATTGTTGTCATAGTGAGTGCTTTATAAACAGTG